CTGCCGCTGTCCCAGGTTGCTCTCCAATACTGTTGTAAATTTCAGTGGTTCTGAGAACGCCTAAAATAAAAATGCAGGTTTTTATATGTTTCCACAACAGGTGCAGCAAAGGCAATGACCTTGTGAAACTTCTTGCTCTATGCTGTTCCTGCATGCTACAGAGAATCTCTGCTTTACATATGAAAGAACACATGTATCTCTCTCCCATTGTGTTCAGCCAAAGATGCTGCTGGGTGCTGACATGTCTGCTGTGAACAGACTTCTCTCTGGCAACCATTGATAGCTGTAATGCTGTACTCAATGCAAAGTACTAGGCATGCCAGTTTTTGAATGTTCTTCTTGGCTGGGTGTTTGTAATCACGGGGAGTAGACAAGGACAGGCAGTGAGAAGTGCACTGGGCTTCACGCTTGCTCCGCTGCATCCTGGGCTGCAGAACTCTGCAGTGCGTGGCACGAGGATGAGCGGTGGTAGTCAAGTTGTAGCTGCTGGGTGGGAGAGGTGCTGCTTCAGCGTACCTGCTTGTTTCTCCTCCTGAGCAGTGGTGCAAGCCCGAGTACAGGGTACTTAATCCCTTGTTCAGTCTGCTTCTTTGTTGGTGAACTCCCCTTTCTTTTGTCATTCTTCACTCCATATCTGGCATTTTACACTCATTTCCTTTCAGATTCAGAGTCTTTCGCAGACTTTTCATTTCCCTTCTTGATCTCTCAATGTGCCACTGGTCTGTAGGTTCCCTCACTCTTCAATGGAAACAGCCAGGAGATCTTTTCAGTCGTGAGTGTTTTGATTTACTGAGCACAGGAGCCAGTGTATAAATATGGAGAAAAGACCTCTCATTCTTTATAAACTCTGAAACCTTCATTTGAAATTTGTTCTAGAAACTGAGTGGAAAAAATAAGCTAATCCTGGTGACTCATCGGTGACGAGGAATGCCAGTTTCATAAGCCTACCTCTCCTTGGCTCCAACCGGGCAACAGATTGAAATGGTATTCCTCATGTAATACGTCACATTACTGTGGAAATTACCGTGTGGTATCAGTATATGCTCTGCTGGGTTCTACATTAGGATTCTGCGTTTTGGGGGGAAACACAACTGCGCCTCAGAAAGTGCTGTAAAACGCAGGCTGAAAGAAAATGTTAGTTAAGGAACAAGACTCAGAATTCTGAGTTACATTTCTTTATTTGGTTGAAGAATTTGATTTTTAGACTTTCTTTAATACCATTAAAATGTCTGGATATTTTTTTGAGAGACACTTTCTTTTGATTTGATGCCAGAAAATTTTATTATAAACCCCTTACAAGCATCATCTAGACCTCAGTACGCAGCATTGCTTGAAACTGCCACTGATACTACAAATCGTTATTTTAAATTACTTTAGTCAGATCATAATAACAGAATAGTTGTTCCATTGACTTGTACGTGCTCTGAAGATGTGTACTGTCCCATTACTTGTTGTTGTTTCAAAAGTATTTAAATGAATTTGACTCACAGATCTATTTTAAAGCCTGACTGAGTATCCTGGATCGGGGAAACTGAAGTCAGTAATATTTAGCTGAAACAGAGGAGAGTATATGATGCACCAAATACATAGTTTACCAAAATTTAGCAGTCAACAAGTACTAGAGTTTCAGGTTCATTTGAAAAATAATAAAATTAAACTTACCAGTGATATAACGGGGTGAGCGAGGTGGGGAAGATTTGTCTTTTAGTCCCTGATTTTACAAAGGCTTCAGCTAAGTTTTATGCAATGCAATTAGTAAAGAACAAGTTGTAAGACTTTATACATTTGTGTAGGAATTTAGTGTACAAAGTGAGTCCAGCGGAGGGCTACAAGGATGGTGAGGGGACTGGAGCATCTCTCCTACGAGGAGAGGCTGAGGGAGCTGGGCTTGTTCAGCCTGGAGAAGAGAAGGCTGCGAGGGGACCTTAGAAATGCCTCTAAATATCTGCAGGGTGGGGGTCAGGAGGACGGGGCCAGACTCTTTCCAGTGGTGCCCAGCGACAGGACAAGGGGCAACGGGCACAAACTGAAGCAGAGGAAGCTCCAGCTGAACCCGAGGAAGAACTTCTTCCCTCTGAGGGTGACGGAGCCCTGGCCCAGGCTGCCCAGGGAGGCTGTGGAGTCTCCTTCTCTGGAGATATTCCAGCCCCGCCTGGCCGCGGTGCTGTGCCCCCTGCTCTGGGTGACCCTGCTTGGGCAGGGGGTTGGGCTGGGTGACCCACAGAGGGCCCTGCCCACCCCCACCATTCTGTGATTCTGTGATATTTAATAAAGTAAAATACTGTGACCTATAATACCTTTTCGGTTATTTGAATAGATTTATTCTGCAGTCTGTAAGTCATGATTTATGTTATTTTTACTATGTTACATCAATTTTTAAAAATAATAATAATTTTCAAAGTGGAGTTTATATAAACAGAGCAAAAACTACTTTTGGCAGGCTGTGCAAAGTAAATCTTAGTACAAATAACGTAACAAGGAAGAATGCACACCAGCTAAATAATTGATGGTATGATTGTGAAACCTCTCTTGTTCCACAGGAGTAATCCTATAGTTTTAGAACGCTCTCTAGTAGAAGTAATAGAATTCAAGTAATTCTAAACTTTGTAATCTTGCCTTCAAGGATCATGTTTTCAGTATTATTTACTAGAAGCGTGTACCGTGGGAAGATATTTGTGAAGTCTATGACAAGGCAACAGCTGAAGCTAAAAGGTCAGCAGATTCCTCAGTTCAGAGTGGGTGATGCCTGCATCTGCAGACAGTGTAATTGTCTCAGAGTTTAAACAGGTTAGACAACTGTTCTCTCTCCAGCTTGAAGGTTTGTATTTTTCAGAGCAGTTCCACATGAAAACAACAAAAATATCTTGCAAGTTAATACAGTCAGCTTGGGAAATGCTGACAGTTTTAAATCCCAGGCGTTTTATGTGTATATATTTTATCTTTGCTTCCTACCGTAAGCTTTTTCTGCACTAGAATTTCTAAATAGGCTGATAACTAGCAATGAAGCGTTGTTCCCAAAATTCTGTTGTGAATTGAATTCTCAATTGAGAGCCATGGATATCTTGAATGGCTCTGTTCATGGTGATAAAAGTTTATAGCAATGTGAAGTTCTGCAGAATAATTATTTTACTCTATGACATTTTTACTGGAAATAGTGAAACACTGTTCAAACAGGTTGTGAAATGGGTAGTTGTTTTCATATGAAAAATGATTAGTCCTGATATTTTGCACTTACATTCATTGCTTGCCTGTTCCCTCCATGATGTTCAGTAGAGCTAGGTGAATTTTTTATTACAAGTACTTAATAATTGTCTGATTTTGTCATCTCACCAGTCTTTGCTTGTAGGAATTCTGGGAGACACCAATGGTTTTCTTCATCATACTTTCAACTCATTTAGTACGTCATGTCTGTGGGTAATTTTGTTCTTTAACTTGCCTTAAAGCAGTATATTTCAAGTCTTCAGAATGTAAAATCGACCCTTGCCCAGACAGAATTTAATGTAAGATGAATCAAAGTCTTGAAGTCTTTCTGAAGCTGTGTTAGTTTTAGTGGTCTAAAGGCTGCTTTCTGATCTGTTCAGTGCAAGAATGAAGCCACGTGACTGTGTACATAAAACACTCAGAATCTGCACTGGACCTCAGATGTATTCTGAACACAGATTTGACACACCCTTTACAAAAATACGTTTTGGTGACACTTTATGTTTCAGTGACCATTTCTAACTGAGTATTCATTTAATGTCACTCATAAATAATGGAAACAAGTGCTTTGCAAACATGGCTGAGCTTAATTGATGTGCAAATATTAATATAATATCTCCTACAGTTTATCCAGTCATCACTGAGCAGATTTGTCTGATAATCATAGCACTTGGAAGCATAATTTTAAGCAAAGTGACATTTTATTTGTATGTGTGATTACACAAGTATTGTTTGTATCTTTTGTACGGAAATTTTAAAAAGTAACATTATAGAATAGTGACTGCAGATTGAAAGAAACTTGCTGAAATAACTAGTTCCATCAAAGATCCGTGCTGTAATGTTTTTTGGTGTTTAAAGCACAACTTTGTTCTCTTGGTTTGTTCAAAAATTGCTCTGATCCTTGTGACAGAAATCTACTCCATCCAGCATCCCAGCTTCTCAGTTCTGGTCAGCACTGTACAATGTAAGCCTCTGTATAACACAGCAGCACTGATCAATTTGTTGTGCCAGAGCCTCTTAAAAATGCGTCTTTCACAGCATCGACACATGATGACATCACTGGAACTTGAACTTGTATTTTACATTACATAACTGCACTCTGGTGTAAGGGAAATAGACCACCTTAGTTAGGATAAGTTGTCTTATCTTAACAGAAAAGAAAACTAGATGTTGTGCAGAAACAAATAAAAATGAAGGTCTGGTTGTACAAAGGCTACAATGGCATTAAAATGTGGCACAGTGATTCTCCGTGACAAGAAAACACGAAAGAATCATGAGATAAGAGAAGCAGTAAAGAGAATCTCCAGTAAATGTGCAGATGTTTAAGGACATTTCATGGTCCGTAAGATGTAAGAAGATGGTCTATGAGATGACTGCAAACATCCAACCCTTCACCCTTCCTGCCAATTCATGTTTATTTCTAAAGAGAATCAACAAAGCAAAGAAAGTGGAAACCTTTAAGTTAGTTATTTGTTGGTTGAAAATGGAAACAATCGTGGCAATGTCATTGTTTTTTCTTGAGAGAAGTTCCTCCGCTTGAAGAAAGTTGATAAATAGTCTCTAGAATGTCACTAGAGGAAAATTATGAAAATAGAGTTAGTTGTAGATCATAGTTACATTACCTGACTCGAATATAGCTGAGACCTGTGCATGTTGTCACCTCATTTCTGAAGCTCACAAGGTAATCATGGTATCTGAAGGGTTGAGAAGGATTAACTGGATTGGTAAGGTCGACCAGGAATGTTTCATATGTTTTAGGTTCATAGTTTAGTTTTATTTATTCTTTTCTTTTTCTACAGGGATGCCCTCTGCCTCTTTATTAGTTTATTTGCTTTTAGCATTACTCATTCAATTTACATCTGGAGAAACAGAAGTGAAGTTCAGTGGACAAACAGAATTTGTAGTTAATGAAACAAGTACAACTGTTATACGACTTGTGATTGAGAGGACGGGGAGGCCTGCTAACATCACAGCAATTGTGTCGGTAAGAAACTATGCCAGTTACATTCTCAGTAAATATTAATGTCTTTCTGAAGTTTTGAACATTACCTCTTTTTATCAAGCTGGTGAAAAGGAGAGAGGTATTTCACTCGGACAACTCTTCACTTTGATGACTCAAGCAGCCAGCTACTGCTGGTCAGGTAGAAGTCCAAACTGATATTCTTCTTTGATTTTGATTGTGGCTGTGAGCTCATACTGAAAATGTGGATATAGAACAATTTTTCTGTTTCCAGATTACTGTAGAACCTGCAATTTAATAGCTGCTCCACTGTTTGAGTCAGATTTCCATACGAATTTTAAAAATTACATTGGTCATTTCATTTTGAGATCAGAGTTAGTATTTCTGCATTATTTTCTTTACTTCTTAGCTGTCATTAACCATGATCTCAACTGTATTCCCTTTACGAGTTTAAAACCCTGGGAGTGTGCTATGCTGTAAGTGTATGGGGTAAGATGCTATGTGGTACGACTACCACATGAGAACACAGCAGTGTACCAGAGAAGATGTACTGCTATGATTTTCAACAGTTGTAGACCAAAGAAATTATCTATGTTCCTGCACCATATTTTGTTCTCCTGTAACTAAATATTAAAAAATATATGACTTATGAATTACAAGGAATAGAAACTGATCTGTACAGATTTCACACTTTATTGACATATGAGGAGAGAACCTTGAGAAAATGTGGTTGTACTATGAAACTAGTTCACTTTACTGATGTAACAAGCAGAGCAACTTAGTCTCCTTGTTAAGGACCTCAAATTCCAAGATTTGTTTCTAACATGAATATTTTGAGCAGCTCATTTAGGAACATGTTTATGGCCTGCTTTTATAAGAAGTTTTTCAGTAAGTCGATACATAAAAAGTAGTTACTAATATGGCAAATGATAGGTGAGAGCCGCAAAAATACCTTCCATACTTTGTTTCCTCTTCACTGAACTGCTAATTTCTCTGTTCTCAAACAAAGAATAGCCTTTTTCACAGTGGTTCATTCAAACCTTTAGTGCCTACGAGGATGGTAGTTTCAGACGTGGTAGCTGTGCTGGTTCAGTTGCTTCTCTCAATTTAGTCTCAGCTTCCAGCTGTGAACTTAACCTGGACACGTTGCTTGACACTACTGCCTGTGTAATCTCTCCTCCAACCACCCTACTTAGAGCAGAACCAGTGGGATTTTGTTCTGCTGACTGAAAGGAAAGCAGGGCTGTTCATTGTAGAAGATTTTGTCTCGCCAACTTTGGCAATCAAAATGTTAATCTAATCTAGGTTAAATGCCTAGGCTCCTTCCAGTCCTTGGAGTGAGACAGGAAGACAGAGGGCAGTTACATCTTAAGGTAAGTTTAATTCAGGCAGGGTGTTGTGAGACACATGTGTGCTAATAGTTTTTCCATTAAAAAAATTCCTGGAGAAGGACTTTTTAGAAGGGCATGGAGTGATAGGACAAGGGATAATGGCTTTAAAGTGAGAGGGGAGATTTAGATTAGACAGAAGAAAGAAATTCTTCACTGAGGGTGGTGAGGCTGTGGCACAGGTTGCTCAGAGAAACAGTGGCTGCCCTCTCCTGGCAGTGTTCAAGGCCAGAATCAAAGAATCGTAGAATCATTAAGGTTGGAAAAGACCTCTAAGGTCATTAAGTCCAACTGTCAACCCAACACCACCATGCCTGCTAAAGCATGTCCTGAAGGTTTGGATGGGGCTCTGAGCTCCCTGGTCTGGTGAAAGGTGTCCCTGCCTATGGCAGGG